GCAAGTCCAGGAAAGTCAGGCTTGTTTCTTTCCCCTGTAGCCTAATTTCTACGCTTCTGGCAGTGAGTCAGATTGTGTTAGTGATATGAAAGTATGGCAAAAGTCGTATTATAGGGAAAGAAAGAAGGCGTATTTTAGTAGTACATACATAGTTCGGAGTTTACCTGTTTCCACCACCACCAGCTCAATGCTAGTACCTTTCTTTCTTCCCTGTTTTATTTGCAGGGCACTAACTCACCATCCATCCATCCATCCACCAACTAGCTGAATTATACATAAGATCTTACCTTTCCTCTGCTGCTGGGTTAGCAGTGACTCCTCAGTTCAATTTAGAATTACGCTATATACTTACACTTCTAGCTGCGGAGCCTTATACTTTTGGACATATGACAACTCACTCGCATTGTATTTACGTTTCTGAAATGCAAGGATTTCTGAGATATTTCGTTGGTTGCATATAAATGTGTATACGTGGCCGCTGAGAAACGACCTTCTGGCAAATTACAGTTTTCGACCAATACGCAAATCCGCACGGAAAGAGAAAGGAAGCGCTGGGTACAATATGGCGTGTTGATTTTTACCCTGATATGAGACCCTTACCTTTTCAATTTATGTAACCTTATTACTGAACCTGGTTCTCGTTGGCGTTCGTATAAAATGTGGAACATAAGAGCAATACATCGCATCCGATATTGTTATGAGTAATTTTTTAGGCAAGCAGGTCCTTGTTAATAACAAGTTGTTACGCCGTCTTACTCCTGTTGTAGATATGATTACTTTCTATAATGTCATAAATTTATGTTTCCCTTTCATTTAATCTCTCTTCAGAGTAGTGCACGAACTTGAAACCAAGGTCAAGATCACTATTGGGTTCAACGGCTGAAATCAATGCGATTGACATAATAGTTTTCATTTTTTTCATAGAATGGCATAGAAATTGAACATGTCTGCATTTGTCGTAATATTATGTATTCAGTGGAAAGTTTATCCAAAATTTTAGTGCCAGAGCACCTTGTCAGACCTTTTCGCAATTGTTTGGTTAAACAATGCATACAACTTTTTTGCACAAATGGATAACACAATTCCAAGCCTAACGTTGCTACATATATGTTACAATAAACCCCTGGAAGGTGTATACATTATTTTACCTGTCACGCTTTCACGACAAAAGAATCACGTCGCATCGGAACGGACAAAGTTGAAACAAGAAAATAAATCGATGAGAGCGACATGTAGCATCTAGAAAAAGTTCAATTCAGAGAAAACTATGAACGTTGATTTCAGCAGTGAAAGCATTATGGCTGGAAGGAAATGCGACATAAAGTTGGAGAAAGCTAATTTACCAATTCACCTTGAACTGACTTGTGCTAAATGTTGTAATAATGAGATGTAATTGGCCACGTAATTTTAAGAATTGGCCATGAAACTCCTATGCGGCTCATTCTTTTCTTACAAACACTTATTAAGACCTCCTCGTACGGTACTTAATGAGATTGAGTAATGACAGACAAGGAAGGGTCTGATTTGTTCCGTGGTTTTGTAACATTTTTTCATGTCCGAATGTTCATGTGTCCCAGAGAAATGAGAGGCAATTTTCCTTTATTCATTACAACCCTTCTTGGTATTCTGTTATTACGTCCATTTTTATTATTATCTGGGTAGATTAACATTGTATAGCGTAGAATACGCACGCAATTGCAATATTATGGTGACTAGTATTAAGAAATCCATGCCTGAATCAGCGTTTGTGAACCAGCATATCAGTTGATCATTAAGCCAAACAAAACAAAATAAAGCTCAAAAGAAAGTACATATTGCAATATTTTTTTTCATCGATACACAGGCTTATATACGAGGACGATATTTGGTATGCCAATGTATGTACATATTATATGTACCTAAGACATGGCAAATCACTACCCAAAAGAATATCTTTAAGAAATTTGTGTGGAAATTAAAGAACGTATAGTGTTCAAACAGACTCTTGATGAAAGACGAAAACATCAAATAAATCTGATCCATATTTCCCAGTTTCATTTTCTATTAAACTGTCAAACGCAGCCAAAGTTATGTAGGTTAGGGAATTGAGTTTGTTGCACGAAAATAAATTAGTCGAGCTGTTTCTCATCTGTTTTATAGTTTAGATTAAATTTTCTCCTGCCTTCTTACCTTACATACTTACTTACTCTTTACTTGTGGAAAGTTGAGGTGAGGACGCTGAGCGCTGTTTCGGTGTCATATCTACATACATGGGATTGAGAACAAGTAGGTTGAACGGTGTTGGCAAAGTGTAGGTAGTCGCTAAGGTGGATAAATGCCCTGAAAACCTAAAAATAGACTCCCATAAAAGGGATATTACTCGCCTTTCGAGTAAAACAAGTCCAGCACACACACGGGAAGAATGCTTACACAGAGACGATGCAAAAATATTGTGCATATCGGAAAGTTGAAACGTGCCTCGACTTTGTTCGTTTGTTTACAATTTTCATTCTCTCCGTCTCGTTACATATTTCGTCTCCGTCCACAATGCATTTTCCTCCTTTCTCCTCTACTGCTTCCATTTCCTCTACTTTTGTAAAAAAAACTTGGTTGTTGCGTTTCGTAACTTTTGCAAAAATGTGCAAAAATCAACTAATTGACTGAGCTACGCTTTTATTCCGAGTCAGAGCTTATGTAACTGTCGCCTCTGTGTGTCCATCCATTTGCGAACTTATCAGATTGATTTTAAGTGATGCGCAATAAGGATGCACTTTCGTTAAGGATGTCCCGACAGGGTGGCCCACGCTTGACTTAGAATTTATAAGTGATGTAATGCCCGACTCGGGCATATGAAGGCTACACTGACTGTAGTACTTTTTATGTCATGTAAATAAGTACATGGAGACATACTTACGTATGAACCTACCGAATGTTCATAGTGCTTTGTCACTTGCTGTATCCAGCGGTTATAAGAGTAAAATTCGGATTTATATTTATTATGTCTGCACTTGTGAATTCTATACAGAAATATGATTTGGAGTGACTCGAGTAGATGTTTCATAAGGTTTCAATAAATTGCCAATAACAGTTTATTTTGGTTCTGCAACTCTGAGATTATCTGAAAGCGTGGTCGTATATTCCGTAATTACTCATTCTTTGAGTAATGGCTGATAAATAATTGTGGCTCAATTTAGGATTGGTGAAAGTCCCACCAATAAAACTTTCACCAAGATTATGCAGCAATGTTGGAATTTATGAGGCACGTATGAAAGCAAGGAACGCGTCAAGTGTTCTTTTTATAGTGAACGAGTGACCCTTTTTCCATCATTTAGCGACTCGAATATCGTCAACCCCTGCCTTTGCCAAAAATAGATTCATCAAATGTCAGTAATTCCCTGTACCAACTTTGTGCATATGGTTTGGTATTTTTGTATTGTTATTTATACATTTTTTTTATGTTTGGTTTACTAACTCCATATTCTTTACTGTAGTTCAAGTTTCACATTTAATTCTGTTGAATATATTGGGTGACTACGTGGTTTATTTTGAAAATCATAGAAATCACGAAAACCAAAAAATTGTATTTTATGTTATAAATTCAAATATAGATGAATAGATTTGATGATTAGGGAGCAACATCCGTTTTATTGCGAAGCTAATAGAGTTGATTTAAATAGATCATAGATTTGTTTCGTAGGACTTGGCTGAAAAAAAGTTTTTCTCATCGTGCACTGTTTTCCTTCTGATGTTTAGAGTTTAGATTTTGAGACAGAAATAGAATATTGATATTTATTTTTAGAAAGGCACTCATCCTATCCTCTGAAGCGTTTTTATTCCTCAAGTTTCAAATTTAGACCAGAGAACGTATTGTGAAAAAACAGACACAACCGTAAGCTTCACATAGACGATGACACGCTCAAGTTGTAGTCAATGTTAACCAAAGGTGTGTGTGTGTTATGGCTTTTTTCCACACCGCACCAAATCTATTCCTATTTGTTTTCTTTTACTCTGCTAATGATAACAAGCGTCTATTTTCATCCAAAATCCCAACTGACTACTAATAGGCATCGGATGCTCTGTTCTCTTTATAAATATTCGTCTGAACTGCGTATTTGCACCAAATCTTGAAAAGGAATTTAATAAAATTCTGAGAAGCTTTCCCATCATAAAATTAATGAGTATAAATATATGTACATGTACATTAAAGGAACCATAAAATAAATAGTGCTATAACACGTGAAACGTAATTTTTAAATATATATATATTTTTTTATTATTACCAAGTTGATTAATATGAGGTCACCCAATAAACAGTAAGCTGCAAACTACTTTGTAGAAACTATGTGTCAGCAACGCTATGGGTTCTCTTACTCGTTGATGCACGCGGTATGAATATTAACTAATTACTAGGGCATATTTACAAATGTTGTTTTTATGTAATTCGCCGCACAATTAATCTCTGGCACTTTTAAGCTTGAAACATTTTGGTATGGTAATTTGCGGACAACATCATCTGGAAAGTGGATAGAGACAAAGGAGCATACAACTTCCATCAGACTCTGTGATAGTCCTGGTTGAAATTAGTTAAATTGGTTTCGACGACGTCTGCAGCACAGCGCAGTGGTGCTTGATTTTGACTCCTTATAAAATTTGCACCCGAGAATTATGAAAGTGGATACGTACATACGACACTGCGAACATAAAGTATTTAATGGTTCGTGACGATGACGTAAATATTTTAGCCAAACAATAAGCATGATTTGCATTTCTATGAGCGCTTCATTTCAAGTAGATCATCTGGATCTGTACTACATAATAGGTACTGAGCACTCTAGGAACTTTTTTTCAATTTAGCACACATTGAACATTCAAGCAAGCGATTCAAGTGTAGCAAAAATATCGATAACAAATTCGGTTGTGATATATTACCATACGTAATGTGCTGAGTTAAACAACGTGAGACAGCCGTAGCTCACAATTAGTTGCTTGCAATACAGTTTTATAACTTTGGTATACCTGATGTGTGGCAGTTTTCACAGCCAAATAGATTATCACATTCAGTTGTCCATTGGAATTAAGCATCCCGACACACAAAAACTTCCATTCTTGAAGCATAGCGTACATACGTATGTATACGTACGTATGTACATACATATTTGCGTACAGCCGTTGCAGTCACCAAGTCATCAGTGAATTAGGCAAGCAAATACATAATAATAATATCCAAGAACTGATTTGGTCTTCATTTGTCCAACACTTCCAAAACCTTCAGTTCCTCAGTTTTCATACACAACGGTGGTACGCAAATTTAATGCATGTCATACTTCTTCAGCCTGTTCTCTTGTGAAACAAGTGTATTTAATACCATCATGAACATTACATTACAAGAAATAATAATAATTGTGTCGCTATGAAGCAGTTACATTTTACTCTTTCACTACATTCGTGGCGTTTGAATAACTTGCTAAATCAGTGATTCCACTTTAAGCGTACATACATAAGTGGCAGTGCTCAACGACTGTTCAATTCAAACATAGTGGTTGTGTTGCTACCTAATTTCGTACAATGTATGCGGTTAATAGAGTTATATAACTATCGTCAATGGTGCAATTGTTAGTTGAGGTGATGGGGAACATTCATGTATAAAAATAGCTACCTCCATTTTAACAATCTACAAGATGCAGATGTAATTCCCACAAAAAATTGCGTCGACCCTGAAATCATATCTTGAGGCAATTCTTTCACAAGCACCAGAATAAGTGTCATTAGATTTGCTGCCTGCAAAATCCTCATTCCTCTTCCGAATGGTTTCCAACAATAAACTCCAACATAGAAATTTCGCATCACCTGAACTCGTCTTGCTCACTGAATGACAGGAAGTGACAGGTCTCATTTATAATACGATGCTGCTACAAAATACGTCAATGAGTGATCTTTGTATTCTTCTTCGTGTTCTATAAAACCCAATTAATGTGAACTCGTTCACACTCGCAAGAGCAACGAGATGATTAGCAGTTGCTGATTAATATAACCCCAACAACGCAGAACTTCATCTTTTGTAGCGAGTTCCTCTCGACTGGAAAGCAATATTGCAAAAATACAATCGAGGGTGTTTTTTTTGTTCCTAGAGCTTGAACATGTTAAAATAAGACACCACGGCCAAACTGTTGAGTTCCTTACTTCACGCAATATAGTTAGTCCTTAAAATCTAAATATACACACCATTCACATCATTATTATACAAGAAAGAGTTCAACAGTAACTGTGATGTTGCTTGAGCATCAGTAGTCGAGAAAAGCCAGTCAGGAACAGTATGTGTTGCGTATATTACTATGTACTTTTGATGCACACCAAGCAAACCTAACCAAACCCAGTTAGTTGCAGTTTGGAAAGTGGCAATAAACCATGATTCCTCTTCTGCAGATGTACTATATTTACCATTCAACAGAACCTAATTCAGTGTCAAAATCTGTGCTACTTGATCAGGTAGCAGTTTAACCTTTGAAAACGCGACATATTTCGTCTTTGCAAAAGTGAAAGCTTCGGTTCCTTAAAAAAACATCGCATTCAGGGACAACATTCTTGTGGAATGAGCCCTAATAAACGCCACCAAATGCATGTGCGGGTGAAAGTCCTACCACACTCGTTGTACATTGCACATCATGCTTTCAAGAACTATCAATGTGATACTTAAGCTACAAAGTGATCAAGTGACCTCAGTCGTAGCGTGAAAATATCATCGTCACAAGTGGACTGCAGCCTAAAAAGTGATCTTGCGTAGACTTATTGGTAGTTCATACTGAAATTTTTAGAATCATCGTTGACGCACATATGTAGCATTCGAAATCGTGGTGTAGTGGTATTTTATAGTAACGTGCATACTGCGTAATTCAGACAGTAACTGAAATATGCAAGGTGTGGCCTGACGAAAATAAAATTTTACTAAATAAATAAATACACATAATTTGCCGAAATCATATATGATCCCAATAAAAACAGAACTCTGCAAAACAAATTTCCAGGAAAATGCCAAGAAAAAATATCTCAATTTCGATACGAAATTGAGCAAAAAAAATTGTGCACAATAAATCAATATAAATATAACAACATTATTATTACACAAGAGTTGAATTGCAAAAATTGCCAGTGACGTGAATGGGTATTGAAAGGGATTTTAGTATGCTGAGAATGCCGGAAAATATCCTAAATTGTGGTTTGGGTATGTTCCTCTGTTTTTACTCTCCCCCACACGACTCTGCTTTGTGCGTTATTAATAATAATTATTATAAGCTCGTTACAATTATGTCAGAATATTTATTATCAACTACATGGAGGAGGAAACCGCATATTAGATAATTAGTTAGTTGACGTCGACAGTGTCAACATGGTTCTTATAATACCAGCTTGATCAGCAGTAAATTTAGAGATGCCATTAAAACCACTCTGCATTCTGTGCACTCGACAGTAAAGCATTATTCTCCTCACACACAACGCAACAACCACGTTAATATAACAAACTGTACAAAAATTATTTGCTCCATCATATCTCGCTTTATTGAGCATCGACTTGTTTTTATCATCTCGAAAATACAGCCTTCTGGTCCTTGCTTTTGTATTTATGTTGTGACCGAATTAACTCCTCGACGCTGCTGAGCAATGTCCAATGTATCACTGTGCTGCATGGTTAAAAAACCACCAGCCATCCAGTATACGCAAGTATAATATGTCGTATTTATTTATCAGTTTTTGGGGGAGGAGGCATGCCGTTGCAGCATAAATGGTCCCTGTGTGTATGATAAAATAAGTAAAGATAAGTCAAGTCAACATACATACATATGTACTTAACTCACCAACTCAATGCGACGTCTGTTTTGTAACCACCAGCCAATAAAGTAATTCCAATATGCGTGTACTCGTACTTTTTTGGTGCTTAATATTTTTTCGTCATCTTATATATTTATGCAGGATATCATGAATTCATGATTGCTCAAACTCTAGTAAGACGATCCACCAGAAACAACAGACATCACATAAATATTGATCACGCAGCAGTAGTAAATTAAAACACTCAACACAAAATCCAGATTATCCCGATGCTTCAGTACGAGAGATATCACTTTCTGAATAAATATACTTCTTATGCATACTCTGAAATTCTGTATAGTGTATGTACACACGAGTATATGAGAGGTTAAGGAGTATGGTTAAGGGGTAAACAGATAGACACCTGTTTACTTTTTATTAATGAATTTCACGTGCGTGCGTTCAAAAGTAGTTATAATATACATAGATCGATGCTACTAAATTAATTAGTTTAATGGAAAATTACAAAGCGGTTTAGGCCTGAAATTTATTTCGTACAATCAGGAAAACTGAGCGTAATGTACAACTAAAGAGAAACCCCATGTAAAAATTAAGACGCATTCGTCTAAAAATATACTTATTTTAGAGAATCTATTTATTAATATTTATGTATGAGCATATGTACACATGTGGTTTTGAAGATTTTCCTTTGCTGGGAAAAAAGGTGTAAATTTTATTTATTTTATTCAGATGCATACTAGCATTTAACAGATCGTTATCATCTGTACACCGTTATTCTGTAATTTAATAGAATCTTGGGCCGATCGAATGGCGTCACCCAACAACTTATGCATAATGATAGATAGGAGCACGGTTTGCATCAATGCAGAAAGTGATAACCCTCCATAGAAATAATGGAATTGTGCCAAATACGACCATTTATCTTAACCAAACCTTGTTAATTGAATGTTTTGGCGTAAGTGGGATTAATTTCTCGGTAGGACTGGTGTTGGTCTGTTCCGCCTACAACAACAACCCATGAGTTTCCATCGTGTGCTCATGGCCATTGAGCTTTTACTATTTTGAATCCAATTTTCCTTCGGCTTTAATTATGCTGGTTCTTGTTCGCTTTTCGGCAAGCACCTAATAACATGGTTATCAAAACAACTGCAGTGCAGTGATGATCATCTACAGCATATCTTTTAAACACAACATGACACCAGCTAACATTTTTCTTTTTGAGTGAGGTCGAGCTAGACATATGAAAAATAAATTCACCAGCCTGAATTGCATGAATTTATTTATCGCGAGAAGGATATTTTGTAAGTATATCGTATTTAGCCACCATTGCCAAATGTTATATCTGCAAAACTGCAACAACGACGCGTAGCATACATCATGTAGCAGCTGATTAAAGAGAAAATGCATTTTTATTCGGCGCCCTCACCCATTTACGTACGTACGTTGATGTCATTGACGATAATCATGTTTACCATTGAAAGAAAGTATATTTTGTCTCCAGTTCATCCCCCGATTTGATTTTAGGGTGATCTCATTGGATTTTCCGAAGAATTTTGAGGGAGCAGCCAAATTTTGGCTTCAAGTTTGTCTATGAGCCAAAGTATAAAAAGAAAGATTTTTTCAAGTTGGTTTTCAAGTTTCAATATGAGGTGCAAAGAGTTCGTTAAGTGTGTGTAAGAAACATATTAGTTGTTGGTCCATATACATACTTTGTTTATTGAACTAATTGGACGACAAAAGCTCAGGAAATAGGAGAAAGCAGAAAGAGAAAGGACCTGTTATTCTAAGAACTCACAAATTGGTAACCTGCCTGCACACTCGGTAAACATATCAATAACTAAACCATTCTGAAAACCTGATGGCTGAGCAAGTAGTGATTGCATTTTTCGGGTTAATCATATATTTGTTTCCTCTCCACAACTTCATTTCGTCCATATTTTGTTATCATTTACATATACAGTATTACTACCATACATGCACATGTTATAAATTTTCCATACAGTTTATGCGTACGGTATACCTATATTGTGTACATATGCAGATTGATAAATTTGCGAACCTCAAATAAATGTCATGTGACTTTGGGTTATCTCTAAATTGTTTATCGCCAATTTAAATCTTTCTTGTCTGGGTTGACCGATGATGGTCCCAACATCAGAGTGCTCATATATGTAATGTGCATATGGCTACGTGGTTAATTACGTCCGAAAAATACCTTGCTCTTCAGGCAAATTGTGGAATAAATAGAGATAGCCCAATGTACACGAACAGTTTAGCTTATCATAAAGATACGAGTCTGTTACAGTGTTGATTACGGAAAACACGTCAATTTTATTACGCCAAAAGTTTTCTGCCCATGTCTAATATATTTTATTTTAAGTAAGTGGTTCAAATATCCCAAAATATTGACGCTTGGCATACATTTTATCTGCATTGTACGATGTGTGCATAATTCATGCAATAATATAGTTTCAATCGCGAAACTAAGTAAATTCTAAATATTTTTTGCCTTTAATAATGAAGTGGTTTAAATTTTCAATTCTGTAATGCGTACTAAAATATTTATGCGGAAACATGCTATATTATGCACAATATGAACTAGTACAAGTTGTAAATATCTACTGTCCGACGAATCCATCAATGAAGACGTGGAGCATCGCTGAATGCTACATATGCATTACTTACATACTTCAGTTTGTATATGACCTAGTTCAGGTCATACACAAACTTCAGAACATTTAAAAATACCAAGCAAGTAAACAAGGATTAAATTAAGTAAGGAGTTTGATTGGTTCAGTAAAAATAACGTATTTATAAAAACAAGGAATATAAGTACGTGTACATATTCCAACGGGACTGTGCACATCCATTTCGTATTTTTTGCGATCAATTGTGCAAGAGTTATTAGGTGTGCACATAACTGATTAGGATAAAAGCGAGCTTATAAATTGCAGCCGGCACTACGAGACTGAAGGAAAGCTTCTTTCTATCCTTGATTCTAACGAATGACCAACAAAATGATAAAATAATTTGGCGATGTTTATAGCGTCCACTTAACGGTGCCTATCTCGACTGCAAAAAATATCTATCACTTTCAGTGCCGACCACCAATACGATTTGGGGGAGGGGATTTATTATCATTAGATCACGCATTGTACGCCTGATTTTTCCCAAACTGTTTTTCCAGTCTTTGTTCTCCCTCATGCATCATGCTTTTAGAACCTGGCTGTTTACAGGCAGTCTTAACTGTAATTGAGACCGTCCCGATAAAACTTATCAGCGAGATAATTCGGTCCAATACACAACTGAGAGATGGGAAGCAGATGATGTGGTGGTAGACGAGGAATACATGTTTGGGTGGATGCAGAATTCAGAGAAAAAATTTAGCTGATTGTGGTACATGTTTGATCTTCGCTACCAAATTATTAATAAATATACCATCACCGAGCCGAAATTAGCTACAATATTACATCACCTTTGCCTAAACTTAGCTTGTTTTTGTTGTGTGTTCGTGCAGAGATTCGGGGGGATTCTGACCAAAGCAACCCAATGTTACTACGAAGGGTGTGCCCAACTAGTGAAAGTAGCGGCGGCCCTTCGATGAACGGAGTCATTCCCGAGTTCCACATGATGGACCCCTTGCTGCAAGACCACGCATTCCAACAGCAACTTCTCCAGGTATGAATCAATTCGATGATTTTGAAAATAAAAATGTTTCCAGTAGAATTAAATTATGTACTGATCAACGAAAACATAAATATCTACATACATACGTATGCATATACTGAATGCCAAGAATACGTACATATGTTACGACGAGATGCGGAGAACTTTGTCGCAATCGGGCATTTAGTGTGTGTGTGTTGAGTACATGACAGAATGTTTTTTTGTCTCTCAGGCCGATGAGTCTCGAAATAGAGAAAGAGTTTCTTTATAAGTAGGTTAAGGGCAGTAACCGATTGGTAATGTTGCGTAATCTTGAACAGTGTCGCGTTGTTTCAAACCGTCAAACAAACTATGACTTGCCATTGAGCTAATAAATGCATCCGTGTCTCATAAATTTCTAACCAAGTGACAAATGATCAGCAACTTGAATGTATAATAGCAACATAAATACATATATACCCAAAGCTCAGACGTGATATACGCTGAGGCAGTCAGCTTTTTCTATCAATTTGCAATAACTAGCGTTTGTCGAACTGGCCAATATTTATGCATCAATTTTCAAATATTTTCCGCTTGAAAAATTAGCTTCAATTTCATAAAGAAGACCTAACTACAGACTAAGCATAATAAGCACTTGTTGGTGATTTATTCGGGAAGATCCTTCACTTGTTTAGATGTATATATTCCATATGGTTTTTACCCATAACATAAAACTAGTGACATAATTATTTTTTTACTAACGATAATTGTCATTATAATTGTTGACTTTACAGTTGAAACAAGAACAAGAACTCCAACATCAGCTCTTGCTGCAGAGTTACCAAGCTCAGCGACAGAAGCTGGCGGAGGCTCATGAAAAACAGCTTGCCCAAAGACTAAAGGTAATGCAATCAGGTCAAAATTCAATTTGAATCAAAATTCACTTATTTCACATTAAGGAATTTAATAAGGCCAAATATGAAGCCGATCAGACAGCTAGTTCAGTTCTCACTCATCCAGAAACTAAATGGGTAAAAGCTATAAATTCAGGAAGAAAGTGTTCCCTTTGGCCTACGATACGTACGTATGGATGGATGGATGGATGTGCACCTATTGCCTCTATATATCCGCAGATTCGGTGCACGAATATGAAATGAGATGCTGGAGAGTTGGCATATGCACAAAACCATAGTTTGATGTACTGCCTATGAAATCTAACCCAAGAGTCATGTTCATGTGAAGTGTGATTCTAAAAATAGTAAACATTTCAAGGTTAACCGTTAACCACCACCCTTCAGAACAGATGAAATTGAACGTGGTATTTAGTAGTAGAAGCCTGTGTATGATGAAAAAGAGTGGAAAAGCATGTGAGAATGTTGGCAAATTGTTTTAGTGCTTTATTGTGTTCGGTCTTCATCATCACAGAATATCCCGAATTCAACATGCCACTACCATACCACACTAAATATTTAGTATTATTTAGAATAATAATAGATCCACAGAAATCTACAACATTGTTTCACCTTGCCTCCCCTTTGAATAAACTGTCTACACATATGCTATGCATAATAACAATGAATAATACGATGCCGCAATAAATTAAATGTAAAGACGTGTGATCCACGTATGGAAAAGTTATGGCGTACCAAAATAGCATTTCAGACTACCAAAGGTTGCAATTTAATTTTCTCTGAGGTTTTCCCTGGAGCTTGTCTGCTTGACTTCCTGGTTCCAGGATTACATTATTGTACGGTGACGGGACTTGGTGGCTTTGCGAAGGGTAATTGAAATTGGATGAGAGGAAAGGAGGGCACGGGACGAGGATCTTATTGTGCGGAATGAGGTTGAGGGTATTGTCGTAGGTATGCAGGTCTCTGACAGTCAACAGTCGGCGGAACATAGTTGGTGAGGTAGGGAAATATCGATTTAGGACCAGAAATAGTCCAGATTTCTCCAAGAAAGCATGGCATATTTTGAGGATGATTTTATTTTAGAACTCTCTCATACGTACGTATACGTAGTTCATACATAGCCCCACTGTAAATGCAGAGTAACTTTTGATGACGAATGAATAAGTAGGAGAAATTCTATACACTTGTTTAATTGTTCTTCTATCCAGAGGAAGCCACACATGCTACATTGCATGTCAACTCTCTGCAGCAGTCGACACAAAGTATTATGGGAGTCCTGTAAATGGTAGGATTACTTATTAAGAGGGGTTAGTCGGAAGTGGGATATGTGCATCATAAAAGAATAAGATTCGTAATAAATAAATAATAATGCTCCTTCCAAGCCATGATGATTCTTGTGCATGCGAGTGTGTGTGTGGATTTGGCCTTATTTGGCTGGTGGGGGAAAGCAGCTTTCACTCCACGCTCCATCCCGTCGCCGTCGTCGTCGTCCTATGGGCGGAATGATGTGGAGGAGCAATGACTACTGTGATCCATCCTTCTTCTAACCTTGAGCTCCTCACTCCTTCCAGCTCGACTGCTGCTGCTTTTCCACTTTCCACCAGAAATAATCTCTCTTCTCCTCTCCTGATTTCTCCCAGCTTGTGCTCAAAAAGATAAGAGGCTTACTCCAAAAGGACAGAAACGACGCAGTTAGGCTTCTATTTGCGGAATTTTATAAATAGCAACATAAATACATCAGCCTATAGGGAGCCACCTGTGATATGTCGGGCACATATAGGATCTGCATACATAATGCATATAGCTTTGTTCACATTTCCGCAACTTTCCACATCAAAGGAATACGTGGTATTGTGACAAGAACTTCAAATGATGCTCGTGTGGAAATGGATGTAATATTTCGAGTGGAGAAAATAAATCGTTTCGGAGAATCTTTCATCCCATTGAAGTATGGCAAAGTCCTTCCATAATCTTTCCTAATCATCATGCCTAAAGGAACGAAAACATGAATTCACAATATTGTGGTTGCACAACATGAGAAGACAACGCTGTAAATTATATATCATCATAACCACCATCATAAACCGTCTCTTATTACCATTTGATTTAATAATAGCAGCAACAAGAAGAAGGATGCTTCGAGAGGAGATGCAGGCAGAGTGAAAGTTGAAATTAATATCGTAAATATTGTTGAAAACTGACAGTTGTCATACTTTCACCAGTTTGCAGACGAGTTGAGAAAGACTTTGGTTAATAGTTGGATAAGTCGTTACAATAGTTGTCGAGATTTCCAAATCAGCGCAGTATATAGTTTCAATCCATCTGCACGAAATTTCACTTATTCATTGCTTTCTGGACACAATTAGACGTGCTAAAAATAGCCTGTTTTTACATTGTGAGGGCTGTATGTGTGTTGGTTGGTTGAATTAAATAATGGGAAACGTTGGTGCTTGCTTCCTCTCTTTGTTCGTGCTTGTTTTGAGGATGAGAGAGAAAAGTTTGTTCATGGAAAAGGAAGAAGTAGAACCATACAAAATACATCAAGTGGGGAAAACAGTTCAGCATGAAACTCGGCAGTTTGGTCTATTTTTGCTCTTTCTCTCCGCCCGCACTGCTTGCACTCGTGGAGAGCTGGGTAGTTGCGAAACGGGTGTTTGCCATTCCCTAGTCTTAACTTAGACGCTAAAAATCAATATTGTATATGTCCCTTGACCTAAAATCGGTTATTTATACATGCGGCGCTCCTATATACCTGCAGCAAAATTCTTGTTAAACACAACATGCTCAATGCGAATCGGGTTGGGTTGAAACTAAGCTATACTCCACTTTTTTATCTACATAAATGACATGGCTGAACCCAAAATTAGACTTTTATTACAAACAGGTTGCCTTTCGTAAAGCAATTTTATTATGGGACAAACTTTATGAAGCCATTGTGCATATGAGTCAGCATAACAAGAGCGAGCAATAAGTATACAGAGCTAAAAGTGGATGCATGAATGTAATACCTTAAAATAAAGTCACAATGTCTATAATGCGATTGATATGTATGGTTACTCTAAAATTAGGTTAATGAAATGAGTGCGTGTGGACTTTGGTTTAACGCCCGTCGACATGTGATAAGGTCATTTTTTAGTGAATGAACCATTTCTTTCAGGAGTTCTGGGAAAATAAACGTCGTCAGGATGAAGAAAGGGACAAATTGGAGGCGTTGAAAAATAAGGACAAGAATGAGCAGAGCGCGATCGCCTCGTCGGAAGTGAAACAGAAACTTCAGGGCTTTCTCCTGAACAAGAAACAACGGGAAGCGGCGGCTTATGGGGCTGCAGGAACCCCAACACCAGGTATACCATACATAATGAGTCGTTTGAAACAAAGTAAAAGTCCCAGTGTAGAGGCACCAAATACATGAAAAATATGTATGTAAATATGCGCTTGCTTTTGAATGTGATAGGTCAACCAGGACCATTTCCATCACATCCGTATCGTCGTCCAATGTTGATGGCGAAATACGAAGATGACTTTCCCCTCAGGAAGACAGGTACGTTGAAACATATGCAATGGTTCGGTTACTAATGTTTGGCACTGGTTCCATTGAAGGAGTCATAAAATATAATAATAATAATAATAATCAACCGCGTACAAGCTTGTTTGACGTGACTGTGTTTCAACTGTGTGGGTTTGCAGCATCTGAACCTAACATAACCTTACTGAAAATGAGACTAAAGCAAAGAGTTTTGGAGCGTCGCAGTAGTCCTTTGGTTCGTCGAAAAGAGCGCTCACACATTAAACGTCGTTCGTATCTCGCAAGTACGCTTCATTTATTGACTTTATATTATTTTTTGAAAATTGCTTTATTTTTTGAGTGGCAGATGCACCTTTTATTTATTAAGCGAAATTATACACATGTACAAGTATGCAACCGCATTTTTCCTTTTTCAGTGGATGGAAGTGGTAGTGCGGGATCAACGCCTGATTCAGGACCGAATTCACCTCCAATTAACTGTGGAATTGTGGGCACACCACAATCAGGAAGTGGTGGGGGCACACCTCAGCATGATGACAGTGGAGGAAGCGGAGGGTCACCTTATGGACATTCAGCATACGGCCCAACAAACAGCGTGTGCGACTTAACACTCTACAGCAGCCCTTCACTTCCCAACATTTCTTTGGGGGCGAGAGTGCCCCACTCCCTCACTTTGGGAAGACCAATTCCTCCAAACTCTGTAAGATTCTTAATCTCGCAACAACTAGGCGTAGGTCGTCGTCGTCTATATTTTTCTCACCAAATTTCTTATGCACATGTTGACAATATATTTAGCAGGAAAGTAAGTTGGCTGCTGTGTCGGAGACTGAAGTACGCTGCCCGATTCCACCCCTTTCAGTACAGTCAGGCAATGGTCCATTAATGCCAATGCCGTTTTACCCACCTCCAAATCTTCCCATGGACCCTGCCGAGCTTGAAGCTTTGTATCAATCTGGCGGAATGATGGCGTTGACCACATACCAGGCTCAAGCATTGAATGCTGCTAGTCAGGCACAAGCAGAACAACTTGCACAACAGCAGGACCCTCAGAGGGTGGGACCAGGACGTACAATCCATCACAGTAATAAATTTAGTTTATCTTATGATAAAAATATAAGTCATTATACTACATATGTATGTATCAAAGTCTAGAGCAGTAGAAGGATTGCATCACGAGGATAAGTCGAGCACAAGTATTGAGGTCAATAATAACTTTATTGACAAAGTATAAATCTAACCAAATAACAAAGTTGATATTAAGCACGGTTCATAAAAATAGTTATTTCTTAACTAAAACAGTCGTTGTCTTTGGGAATGTAAATTTCTCCCAAAGAAGATCCTCATAATTTTGCACAGGATAATATATTTGTGTGCCATGTACGGCGATATTCACCATCTTCTTATCCTCCTCTGGCGATAAGGCACAAATAAAGTTGGATTTCTGGGACACTTTCTGATTCATCATTGTTATCTTCATGCCTGTCCCTCCACCAACTCCATGAACTAAATAGCAAACATTATCATTATATATGCCGATACAATTAATTACTTTCGTTCACCTCTCTTATAATGGGCCAACACGCAGTAAGGGTGCTGCCAGTTCATCGCAGCTCGAAAATTTTCATGTTTGGTCGTCTTACTGTCTGCTTTTCCGTCACCAAACTTAATTCGCTGTAAATAAGGGAAATGTTGTAATAATTCATGTAATTTAGTCTTCATTTGTTTATTGTACACTTGCCATTATAAAAGTTGACCACTTGTCAACGAGATCCGCTTCCGTGACTGGAGACGTGGAGTTCTTCCTAAGATGGGTGGAATAACATGGGCCTTTCTGCACGAACAATTTAGTGTTATTTTAAATGGCAAACTACATAAATGTATCACTTACTTCGCTGCTAACGTCATAAAACCATTTAGACTCGAAACTGGGGTCATGTTCGTATCTATCCATCATTTCCTTCATGGTCATCTCTGGCTTATCATCCGGAGGTTTGAATTGGCAGATCACCTAATAATAAACATAGTTTATAATGAGATGAGATAATAATAAGATAATAATACTGAGTTACAAATACATACCGTTCCATGATACGCACTCCTGTCCACTTTTTGCGACTCCTCATACTTCTTGGCTTGAATAGCTGAGGTCTCAGAAATAAGTCTTGGTCACCCTTTGGTTCTGTACCAGTTGGAAGAATTGGGAAAGTTTTGGGCTTATTCTTAGCTTGTTGGTCAAGTTGGAAAAAAGTGATTTTCTCGGCAATGCATTTGTTCTCTTTGGATTTACAAGCACTAAAAAAGTTGTCGGTCTTCCTCTTTTTCTTACTACATAAATAAATTAGCTTATTGATTAATTATTTGATTTTTAGTTATAACCTTACATTTCTTCTTCTCCGTGATTGAGCTTATAATGGGGGGACATGCATGATTGTCGAATTTCTTCTAAACATAATTTCCCATTTGCTTTTGTCTCATTGCAAATCACAATAGGATCGAATCTCTGACCTTTAACTAAATATATGAATGAATTATTTGTACGTGGATTGCATCATAATATTAAACAACGAACGAACCTCTCTTCTCGTTTGGATCCTTTTGTACATAGTTGTACTTTCTCTTCCTGCTTTTAACATCTGACCAAAGGAATAGATAATAAGTAAAATAAATATAAAGAATATAAATAAACCCACCTTCATTATTATCTTCTTCTTCTGATAAGAGTGACGAGGTACTTGGCTCATTTGTCGCATCAAAGGAGTCCTCATTCCAACTTTCAAAACCACTACTACTGGTATCCATTGTCGTGACTATTTGTAATATTATTGAGCACCGAATAATTAAATATTGACTAGAACAAAGTTTGTGTTTTGCGTCACATGAATTGAATGAGCGGCGAGTGGGGTGAGACCATAAATTGTCCTCTATGGCTAATATAGCTATAGCTGGATATAGGTTTGTATAAAAGACAACTTAATTTGTATCTTTGTATCAACAGGACCCCTTGGACGAACTCAATCTGCACGTAAGAAATCATGACGATATTTTCACTGAAGTGACACTTTATTCATAAATATACATACTTAATATACATTACATACGTACACAATTTCAGCTCTGCCACTTGGTCATCCTATGCTGGTCATGAACAGTGTTGGAATGGTAAATGGAATCACAGGATCACAAATTCCTGGCAATCCAAACATGAATCAACCACCCACAACTCATCAATTGTTGAGAAATGCAATTCGCCAAACTGTATTAACCAGGTACTTAAAATGAGCTTGTGATTGCTCGACATTAAATTGCACCGTATTGTTGAATTTTATGGCATCTTTTCTTAACAGAGCTGGGTCTCGGGGTGCGGTGCTTGGATCTCTTAGCAGGACTGTTAGCGTTGAAGAAGACTCTGGCGAAGGGGAGGGCGAGGTTGACGAACAAACTCAGCACATTCAGCAACAACAGGTATTGTGTTTTACATAAAAGTAGCTTTAGGGTATAAAGTTTAGAGGAAAACAACTCAAGGATTAAAAAATAGTCTCATCGGAACGTTCAAGCTAATATTTTTGCAGGCCAGAAGCGCTTACGTGAATCGAATGGTTCAGCAACACCTATTGAAGCATCAACAACCACCTGTCCCTGAAGGTTCTACTAACATTCCTGGCGGCACCAATGTCGTATCCGCCATTCCTCAAAGACTCCATCACACCGTCAGACCCCTTTCTAGGGCTTTATCTAGTCCCCTGGTTGCACTAGGCTCACCAGGTTCACCCCAGGATGTATTACAACAAACAATGTCTGCAAAGCCTGGTGGCACTGGATTAGCGTTTGATAACATCATGCTAAAACATCAGTGTTTGTGCGGGTAAGTAATTTATTTCAATAATGTACACTTGTATTTAAATGGTTACAGACAATTTCCTTTTACACAGGGATAACTCTCAGCATCCTGAACATGGTAAGCAACAGCCATGCTTAATTTTAAAATAAGTCGTGATAATTCTAATCACCAAGTTAATTCATTTTTATGCATATGTCGTTTAGCTGGCCGTCTTCAGAGCATTTGGGCAAGACTTCAGGTGAGATCAGATTTTGGAGTTAAAGTTTTTTGTATATGAGGTACTTGGTAGTACTGATCATCGAGTGACACTGTATTTTAAAAACTTGGGTATTTTTAACCAGTTTTATTTTAATTTATAGGAAACGGGACTTATTGGAATGGTAAGTAAATAGGTTGGGTGAGAGAGGTCCGAGAAAGATATTTATTGCATGACAATAATTAACAGAGTTTGACTAACTCTAAAAGCTTTCTCTTTGCGTTGTGAACAATTTCCACTTGTCCTTCTGCACATGGACTTCTATTTCGATGTAGGGATTGTTATGTAAACATAAAAATCGTCTAATATTTTCTGTATAATATTGCTTCCGAGTTCAACGAAAGAGTCAACAACTTCGGATGGAATATTAACTTAGATTTTAACGTTTTCATCTTTCTTCTTATCAATAGTCGATGCTACGATAACAGAAGCAGGGAGAATATTCTCTTGATTTTTTTTTACTTATATTCTTTAGTGTGAACGAATTCGAACAAGGAAAGCAACTTTGGAGGAAATTCAGGTATGCACATTTGAAAGTGAAGGAATATGTTTTATGGAATTTTATGTATTCATTGATAATTGATTAAAATTCTGTCTTGTTATTCTCCAGGTGGTCCACAGCGAGGCTCATACTTTATTATTTGGTAAATTATATTTTTTGTGCATTCTAATTTTTCAGCATTGAATAAGTCCAGTACATAATCATATTATTAAATTCAATACTGTCATACAGGTACAAATCCGTTGAGTCGTCAGCGTTTGGAATTGAGTCGTTTCCCCGAATCGAGCCTCCCAATTAAGAGTTTGGTTCGATTGCCGTGCAATGGAATTGGCGTGGACTCTGGTGAATGCAATAAATATTAAACTCATGAAACAAAGGCAATATCAATAATAATCAATTATTTTTTTCAGATACTGCGTGGAATGAAATTCATACTCCTGCGGCTGCTAGAATGGCAGTTGGTTGTGTCATGGAATTAGCTTTCAGGTAAAACAACGTTTATTACCGGATATTCTAATATCTATCCAATCAACCGGAATCCAAGTCACATTTGTTACTTAAATCTATTATAGGGTTGCAGCCGGAGAACTCCGCAATGGTCAGTGTATATGTAACTTTCACTTATGTACAAGCATTTGACAAAGAAAAATACATCTTCATTTCGACTAGTCTGGACAATTTTTATTTTCAAATTGTTGTCAGAATTAGACTAAAAATATGTATTTATTTTTAGGATTCGCAATCGTTAGACCACCAGGTAAAATTCCTAGCATATTGATAATTTTCATAAATACGCAACTAAGACAGTGCTCATAATTCATTACCCTTTACTTTTTGGTTTTATCAGGCCATCATGCTGAACCTGTGCAGGTATGAAATATTTCTTATTTATTTGGAATAAGCTAAACCTTATGGTAATTGATTCATCCTTTTTACTGTAGGCAATGGGTTTTTGTTTCTTCAATGCGGTGGCTATTACTGCAAAATTACTCCGAGCAAGATTTCAACTTGAGAAAATCATGATTGTTGATTGGGACGTTCATCACGGGAACGGAACTCAGCAAATTTTCTACGACGATCCTCATGTTTTATACATGTCTATCCATCGGCATGATGATGGTAATTTTTTTCCTGGGACCGGTGCTGTGACTGAGGTATGCATACATAGTTAAAAAATATACGCTCCTTTATCAGCATCATACTTAACATGATAAAAAATATGCAGAGTAAAGGTATGCATAGTTTAACTGTGGTTTTAATTATTATATTTTTCAGTGTGGACATGAAGATGGAATGGGCTTCACCGTTAACATACCGTGGAGTGGAGGTTTAAATCCTCCAATGGGGGATGCAGGTACACATTGACATATTTTTACTGATTTGAACGTTTGGATCGAATGTAATATTTTTTTGTATTTTTTCAAATTCAGAGTACATGGCAGCTTTCCGATCGGTGGTGATGCCGATCGCTAATGACTTTCAACCTGACGTTATCTTAGTATCATGCGGTTTTGATGCTGCTGCAGGCCATCCAGCCCCGTTGGGTATGATATAAACTTTATATTTAGTTTTTGACCATGATGACCACATCTGATATTATCAAAAGTATATTTTAAATGTGTCATGACTTTTAGGTGGGTACAAAGTGACGCCGGCTTGCTTTGGTTGGATGGTCCAACAGTTAATGACTGTTGGACATGGTAAAGTACGTAAAAAACTATTATATCCTTATTTTACATCGCATCACACATTGTGCGCAATTAACACACTGTGTTTCTTATTTCAGGTTGTACTGGCATTAGAAGGTGAATTTTATTAGACATTTGAAGATAGAAAATGCTGAATATCAAAATGCATGAAGAATTGTATAACTATTCTAACTCTGGTTACAGGTGGCTACGATCTTCCAGCAATCTGTGACTCCAGTCAAGAGTGCGTGAAAGCCCTGTTGGGAGAGCAAATAACTCCCATACCTGAAGAGGAGTTACTTCGAACTCCCAGCGCACCTGCAGTCGATACCCTTTTACAAACAATGACTGTTCAAAAACCCCACTGGCCCTGCATTAAAAGGTTTATTTTACGTTCTTGTAACTCGCATTGCATCGAAGAAAACAATTATTAATGTATAATTAATGGCATCCTTTATATTTTGTAGGTCTTTGGTTTCTTGTTCTGCAGTGGAGGCTGCTGCAACTTCGATGGAAGGCAAGATTTTATTGAGAGAACGGGTCGAATCGGAAACCGTAACTGCTAACATGGCGTCGTTGTCCATGCATAATGCTCGTCGACCCAGTGAAGCCACGACTAGGTCCAACGACAGTGAAAGTTCCGATGTTTCAGCTTCCATAAATTCGTCTTCGAAAGTGACAGGTCGCCGATCTTCCGACATGAACATGAATGAAGATAATACAAATGAACAACGGGTGAGAGGGGACAGCGAGGAGCCCATGGAACAAGAACAATGAGCTCCCAATGTAATCAACTCATGAACTTGGTCGCGTCATATTGGTAAGAAATTATACACAAAGCTTCCGGATCCGAATCTGAGACACACAAAAAAGTACTACTACAGCGACCATACGAGTCTATAACAAAATTCTTGTTTTGTTTTTACAATCCTACGAATTAGAGTGAAACACTGTTTCGTGACCAATACTCCAAGTCGAAATACAATTATTTTAATAGGTATAGAATGCGCTGGATCGCAACAGTTTTGTCCGGGACATGCATTTTTTGTTACGTGCAACATGCCTCCAAAAATAAACAATTGATCGAGTCTCGTAGAACCAGACATTTTATTTACTCTTGTTAAAAATGATCCAGATTGTTTCACAGAGATTTCTAATACAAAATCAAATATAGTTTGAATCTGAAATTGGTTATCTAAAGTGTTGCATACATTTACATATATCCTCTAAAATTCAACTAGTCTTGTTCGTTTGTTAAATTTCTTTGCACGTTTATGTATCTTCGCAACTCGTTAAATACATTCCCGTCACGAATCGACTAGCACAGGGTCGGCTATGTACGACTTCGTATATTTACATATATATGCATATTATGTAATACAGGATGTTTACAGATTTTGTAGAAAGACAATTACATGGATTACTTGTGATCCAATTTGCGCCAAATTTGGCAAACATGATCTCGAAGGTCACGACCACATCTGCCAAAAGTTTCAAATTTCTATCTTCAAAGTTGGCCCCCAAAAGTTAGCCCAAAGTGGACGAACCGTAAAAGCGGTTTCCGAAGCTAATTTGGCCGCGAAGAGTGCCCAAACGATTATCCAAAAATCTGAAACCTATCTTATCGTGTCCCTCACATATAATTGTATTGATTTTGTAATAAAACGATGGTAATTAGTTTCATCCGACCAAGGTATACCACGAAATGCATACCCCTCAAAACGATGAATTCTGCCACCCTGAAGAACATTGACCACCACGATGTCAATCAGAATCCTATAACCAAAAAACAGGTCACAATGCAATCCCAGATGTCTCCTGGACACGTTAATAGCATTTTATGACACAATTTTAAAAAATCTGTGCAGAGGAAGGCGAAAGTCCGCGCACTTAAATTTGCCCATATTGTAAACAAAAAAACTAACAGTCAGAGGCTGTTTGAAGGTCATGTTGGTAACAAAAATTCCGAATTTGTCGTCACATTGACCTGGGCACTCGGCTACCTTCAAAACTATAACAGGACAAAAATAATTTGCTGCAAAACGGACCGAAAGCAGATTTCAAACCATGGGTCTGAAAAGAAGGAAAAGTTGTCTGACTTATTCCTGGTGGTAGATGCAATGATGGACCGTGGAGTGCTAACGTTGGTATCTGGTGCGTCTAATGCAAAAATAAACTCGAAGTACTTTATGGACAATGTTTTACATAAGTTGTTCGAGGTCAAAATTGCAAAGAAGCATTTTGAAGAGCCTGACAAAGTTTGCATCCATCACGACGCGACATTTTCATATACGGCCGAAATTACCCAACCGGACAGCCAAGATTTAAAGGAAAACCCCGGAATGACCTCCACATCTTTTTCCGGGGTACATATTAAGTAACATGACAGCAGTCCGATGGATTTTTTGAGGCTTGGGTGCCTAGAACAAAGTATTTTCAATGACAGAGATAAAAAATGTCTGCTGCTTGGAAAACTCTTTCACCGATTCCTCTACTTTGAGGTCACTTTTTGAGCTCATTTTTAAAGATAAAAATTTGAAACTAGGTACATGTGTGACCGTGATCTTGAGGATTACGTGTTCGAAATTTGGGGCCAAAGAGGAATATAGGTTCCCAGTTTACCCATAAATTTGTCTTTCCACAAAATCTGTAAACACCCTCTGTACGTAGTAGATGTGTTTAATTATAAATGCATAATACATGTACCACATTATTAGTACTTATGTAAGTACGTATGTTTGTCGCCAATGAAGAGTTTTTTATGTTAACAATGTCAGAATGAGTGCTATGCAAACCTCATATTCACAAACGATAACAAAGTAATAGTTCTTGTATGGTTCGTTTCGAATCTTTTTTTTTTACACAACGCATGACAATTTGTTAAACTTTTATGTATTTCAGGAATCCGAGTTTTTTAAGACTATGTTTCAGAGTAACCCACAATTTGCTTTCTCATTTTAACATTTGGAAATTGATAAAATTGTGTAACAAGAAAATTATGCAAAAAATACATATATATATATATATATATTTAGCCAATAGTTTATGTAATATACATAATAATGTCAAATTCCACTAATGGAATTATCTCAAAGTTTTTTGGTAAACCGTGCGTACCTGTGTGCATGTGGTCAAAACTGAAACATTCAAAAAGAAGAATGTGTAACAAATATTTTTAAAATTTTATGTATAGCTTTACAACATATTATGTAACAACTCAGTCAGCACAATTTGTTGTTGATTGACAAAGTGTACACGACTTGAACGGAATGAATATTTTATCGTATAATATAATTACAAAAAATGTCAAAATCTTTGTACTCTTTTCAATTTAAACCGTATTTACAAGGCGGGTTTTAGTTAACATTTTACTGATTTAATTAATTGTTAAATAATATTTTATTAATTAGCTTATACACAGTTACTTGATCATCATCTTAAAATTATTCTGTATCCATTTCTATAATTATTCTTAGCTTATATAGCACAGTCAAGTTTTGTAACTTACGAATTCTAGTCAGATTTATTTTCCACATATTGATGTCCGTATTATTATTACTCTTATTTAGTTGCTGGTGTGAGCATGACGCTATGTAAGCTTCCTTCCGGCCACTTCCGGGCGGCAGTGTTTATTTTCTTGAACAACAATTAAAAAACAATTCTGTTTGTCCAAAAAGTATAAAACCTCATGCTTTCCACATTATTTCCTTTGTTCATTATGCACAAAAGTCACGGCTATCGGCTATGAAGACCAGACAATGAGTGCATGTGTAACAAAACGACGACTCTTTAAGTGAAATGGAGCATAAAATGGAGTAATACTATTGTTACAATAGTCTAAATTTGTCGTATGCAACAATGCAACACACGGAAAGGGTTGACTGGTCTAATTCCTTGCATGATTTTTCCTTCGGCATAAAACATTTATGGTGAACACCTGGACCAAGTAACTTGTTCTTTCTCCACGTCTGTTATGCATAGTATTTCATAGTATGATGTATCTTATTCCATGCGTGCGTGCACCTTCAATTTATGAAATAAGTTGATATGCAAAGAAGACGCAGGGAGAGAGATGGTCCCGGAGAACGGGAAGCAGAGAAAGGGTTAAAAAAGTTACATCATTCATCGTCGGAAGTGTTTACGGTGGTGGTAGCGGTGTTGGTGGTGGTGGTGATCTGCTGGGATATAGTGTATACTTCTATTATGCTATAAAAAATCACCTACCTATAGATAGATAGTACGTACAACATACAGTATTAGTGGCTGGAATTTTGAGCGTGTTGTGGCAGCAGCGCTGCAGAATTGGATAAGTTGTAAAAAGACAAATGAAATGAATTGGTCAGACTTGTCAGGCTTTCTGCATGACAATTATGACGAGAGTCCAGTTCATCCAATAATATTCAACTCATGATCTCTTCTCCAGTTATCTACCAGTGCAGTGTAGCGTCGCTAAACCATCGAGAAAAAATCTCATAATTACTTAAAGTTGTGGTGTATGAATGATATGGTGAGTTAATGTCATTATTCTTCTTCTCCGGTTCCCAAATTTGAACTACGAGCAATCCAGTAACAAAGGCAGCCGGCGCAAAATAACGAGTTTTTTTTACCGAAAAAAGGTGTCAAATTCACAATTTTTCCAAGTGACTGAACTCAAGCCTAAATTAGCTAGTTGGTTATACCACATACATGCAACACAACTAATTTGCAGCTTGATAGGCGCAAGTATAGACTTGATTTAGTTTATTCGAGTGTATTTAATAAAGTTACCACTATACACAGTTATTGTACAATACAACTAATCACGCTTATCAGTCACAACTAGACAGTATAATATGGTCTAAAAGGACACTTGAATTATAGTGGTGACAATGACATTCATGAACAATGTGCCGCAATTATAGTCGAAATTAACGATACACAACGCGATGGAAGTCTTAATCCAAACCATTCTTGGAGTTGGATTAAGGGCTCGTCGTGACCTTTTCTAATGTCGTCTGATGATGAAATGAAGGACATGGTTGGCGGATGGTGAGTTACTTGGGAATAAAATTAAATGCAATTTAATTGGTGGGTGCATTAAGTTGGTTTAATTGTTGCATTTTTAAAAATTAAAGTTGTGTATGTTCGGACGAGAGGGGTTGGGACGAAAACCCTTTGGTATACTGCGATGGTCAAGGTCTGCACTAATTCCTTAAGGATGCATGGCTTTAAAGACTCATGGCGTCGAAAACAATAATGATATGCATTCATATTTTCTTTCAGGCTGCAATGTTGCGGTACATCAAGCATGCTACGGTATTGTGCATGTGCCCACAGGTACTTCACTTTTTTTACACCTATTATTGGTAAATTAAATAAACTATGCTTATTTAATACTGATTCATTTAGGCCCATGGTTTTGCCAAAAATGTCAATCACAGGAAAGGTCTGCCAGGGTGGTACGTAAATATCGTGTGCGTGGTGTATGTAGATCTTTTTTAATGAATAATAATGCTACCTTGCAGAAATGTGAGCTATGTCCAAGCCGTGATGGAGCCTTAAAGAAGGGTGAGTCAGGAGTGCATAAGATAATACAACACACGTCAACTGATTACTAACTATTTGGTTTTCCCTTTCAGCTGATGTGGGGGGTGGGTGGGCACACGTCGTATGTGCGCTCTATATCCCGGAAGTCCGTTTCGGAAATGTTACGACAATGGAACCCATTCTGGTATTACTTTAGTTCAAAACAATAATAGTACAACTAAAATGACGTGACCGACATAAAAATGTTCAACCTTATCAAACTTTGAACTTTAGATTTCATTAATTCCCACGGATCGATTTGGCCGCACGTGCTATATTTGTGAGACCAATAACAGGGGCTCCAAAGCTACCGCTGGGGCGTGTATGCAGTGCAATAAACAGGGATGCAAACAAACTTTCCACGTAACCTGCGCACAACTGCAAGGTAGTTAAGTAAATGCAGAGAGAATTAATGCATTATATCAATGTCATGCATTATTATATTTATGGAATATTATTATTAGGACTGCTATGCGAAGAGGCTGGAAATATGGATAACGTAAATATTAATTACTTATAAATGAAAAATGACTATAGTGAACAGGCGTCTGCACACCTTAAGTAATGTTTTCCATAATTGTAGGTTAAATATTGCGGTTATTGTCAATATCATTATGGGAAATTGGTAAAGACCAGCATCAATTCCATAAATAATTCATTTCACAAGATATCTAATTGTAAAATTTCTTGATAATAACACATAGAAAACAACCAAAAATATGAACGTGAAAATTAAAATTATTCCGCCGTTCCGCCCGGTCCCCAGTAGCACTAGTAATAATACGAATGCCGATTCGCCAGGAAGCTCGCCAGAAAAAGAAAAACCTGGAAGCAAGCAACCAAGCTCCACCAGTGACGAAAGATTGTCATCGACAACTTCATCAAGTAGCTTATCCAAAAATCACGGGACGGGAGATTATACTCCAGCAAGGAAAACAGGAAGCAGTAACAGTATAAGCCCAGATAATAGTAAAAACAACAAAAAAACCAGCCATTCCTCTGGAGGAAAGTCTTCAGACAGTTCATTGTCATCGAAATCAACTAGTAACAATGCTGCAGTAACGCCAAAGATTGGTGGGTGTGGTTCTCCTACTACTTTCCCTCGTCGACAAAGATTGATAACAATTAATAACGCCTAATTTATCATTTTCAGCTCAACCCATTCTTACTCCTGCTACTTTCTCAACAGCTCCACATTCAAATTCAAAGAACCTCGAAAAAGAAATTGAGGAAAAGTCTGTAACTGACCTTGGTGTTGAAGGTAATCTCCAGCCCTCTTGTAAGAAGTTGACAAAGGAGAGTGACACAACATCAAAGGAAGACAATTTCACCGTAAAGTTGGAAAGGGTGGATAATCCACTATTGAAGGTTTAAGTTCGATAAGCTTAAGTTCGACGGTTAGAGTAGGACACAGGGTTGTAGGTCATGTAATCTGTAACATTGCATGTTATAATGTTTCATTTAAAGGTAACAGGTTACGTCCCGTGCAGGTTACAGGTTACTAACTAATTATGCCCCACATTGAGGTATGGTTCGTATTTTAGTCGAGCAAAGTGAACAGGTTAGCTTATACTAAGTACGCGGAAAGCATGAAATTTACGAGAGCCAACTAGTAAAACTAGCTAGGAGAGTTTTCTGTGTACCTCGTATAACTTAACCTTTTTTAGAAATATCTCTGTAACTCTATGGGCAATTATGCCTGAAAGGGTTTTATGCTGTAAATCAACTTTAACCTAACCTGCGCGCTTAAAATCCAACTACCCCCCCTACCCCCCCCCCCCCTTTGTAACTTGTAACCTGCTGGGACGTATCCTGTCACATGTAAGCTTTAAAGGAGACGTTATAACATGTAAGGTTACAGGTTACGTCCCCTAAAACCCTGTGCCTTACTCCAAGCCGTTCGACAGATCCGGTGTTAGTTGGGTGTAATTGAAGAATATGAATTTAAATTGAAGGGTACTTCTTCGAAGAAAGACTTTAGCAGTACCTTACAGCTGAAAGAAGTTGTGACTGGAGCATTGGACAGGTCGTCTAGCAAATACGATCACGCGAGTTCTGGACTAGGAGGCAGTAGCGGGATAGATCGACATTCTCATCACGGGGAGAAGCCAGCACCTCCGGATATTAAACCTCATGTTACGGTAACACCAAATAAATAAAAATGCATTATTTACTTAATTAATTCAAATTCAGCTGGACATGTGTACGGATCCATTATATTAAATAATATTTTATAGCTGACACCCATCCCAATGCGTGGATCTAGAATAAGTCTTACAAGAGGTGATAGCGACGAGAGAGAAGAAAAAGAAAAGGAAATCTCGTCGTCGACGGCCAAAAATAAATCACCTGTTGGAAGTTCTATGCAATTCAGGTAAGATTAGAGACTTTAAATGAAAACCTCTCTTTATGGATAATTAAAATATTTCTTATAAAAAACTAATTGACACGTTTGTCCGATCTGACGTATGATGGTTCTTAGAAAACTAATTAATTATGTATCATAATACTTATACATAATTAATTTCATAGCTCTTTCGGACAGAAAATGAGCAATCCTGTACAATCCGCATCAGAGCTATTAGAGGTGAATTCAAAACTATCAAAACATTCTGCTGATGCTAGCTCGCCAAACGAGTTCCCTTCAGACAAGTCTGGTCCCCCTTCTAAGAGATCAAGGTATATATTTAGTAGTTTATATAATTATTTGATTTATTCAACAAATAGTCAACAAATAGTTGAATAAGTCATCAAGTACATAAAAATAAATACGTAAGTAGAATACTTAATGATCAGGTAAAAAAAGGTGTGCAGAAAAATCATTAGAATAGGGCATTCGCTAACCCTTGTCCTTGGCTACTCGAACCAGTGGGGTCGCTCCTATAAACATTTTGAAATTCCAACTTACTCATAAGTTATTTTAGCCTAATTTTGAAATTTCATCTTATAGCAAATTTTTAGTCGGCTTAGGTCGACAGATGCATAAATGGATGCAAAGATTTCTTTGTTAACGCTTAGAAGATGCTGCGCAACAACCAGTAGTAATTCCTCATTTACTTGTATTTTTAGAGGTGCAAGTCGGGACGACGAGCGTGGCAGGAAAACCCCTACCAAGGGACGAGGGGGTGGACGTAGAGGTTCTGCTCATTCTGGCTACAAGCGGGACAACTTTATGGATGAAAACTCAAACGAGCCCATGGAAGTTGGAAATATGAGTAAGATATTACTATAAATACTATTATTACTGGGAGTTTATATTTTTAACGTTTATAATTTGGTTACAAAATCTTGAATTGCCAACAGGTACATCACGTGGAGGTAGAAATGGAAAGAAGCAGCCAGGCGGATCTCGACTAATGGGGCGACAGGCTGGTGACGATCCTCCTGCGCCCACCCTTTCTCAACTTAAGGCCCAAATGGAGTCAGCTGCAGGTGGAGAGACAGCTAGCAGTGGTAGTATCAACAACAACAACAGCGTTGGAGTTTTACCAACTCATATGTTTGGAAATGCACTGAACCCAGCATCATCGATGGCACAAAGAATGGTAGATACTTTAAGCCAAGAAATGGAAGCTGTGGCTGCTGCAGGTGCTGTTGGAATTCCAGACATTGTACCTCCACCAGCCCCTGTTGTTGGAATTACTCTTCCAGGAAAATCTTGTACGTTGAATAAATATTTTCTAGATATGTTTTACCTATTTATTGACCTTATTCTTCATCTGTTACTTTGTATAATTGTTTATTTCAACTGTTTTTAGCAATAGTGAATGGAACTTCTGGTTCAACTACTTCCACGCTCCCCAGCGCTTCGGGATCTGCACCCCAGACATTAGAACAACTTCTTGAACGGCAATGGGAACAAGGATCCCAATTCTTGATGGAACAAGCCCAACATTTAGACATTGCTCAACTATTGTCTTGTTTGAACCAATTGAAACAAGATAACCGGGCATTGGAGGAACATGTAAATTTTCTTTTTTTCTAAGGACTTACGTTTTAAATAAAGGCAATGTGGATTAATGAATTGCCTCGACTCAGAAATATTTTATATTTTTTTTCTTTTTCTTTATAGGTTGGTACTTTGGTACAACGGCGTGATCAGCTAATTGCCATAAACGCACGCTTGAGCATCCCATTAGGAAATTCCAGCGCACTTGGACCATTGGCTCCCGCATTTAACAACAATGTGAATGGTATCTCAGCACAAAACGGCCACGGGACCCCTCCGCCAAATTTGTCTGCTCAAGGTGTGACCCCTCACTCGAGCATACCAAAGGGTTTACAAGTGAACCCTTCAACCCCATCGCCTCAGCAGCAACAACATGCTGAATTAATGATGCAGTCAACCCGGCACGGCCACAGAGAGGAGCGAGTTTACCATTCGGAAATGCAAGGTATATTTGTCTGAGAATGACGTGAATTTAACAATTTAATATAACTTAATTGTTTAATATATTTCTGTTGCTAATGTTTTTGCAGTGTCTCGGGCGGAAATCAGCGTTGCTCATCCTACTTCAAGCCCACATGGTCATGGTCATCAACAAGGGCGACAGAATGTTGCCCCCTACGGATACTCGGGTTCCACCCATTCTAGTGGTGGTGGTGGCTCTGTTGGTCAACCATCTCACCACTCGAATCAACCATCGTCACATCATTCTCATCGTGATGGTCGTTGAGTTCTGGCTTTCGAGAAGAGTGGGTACTGTATATTATTCAACTAAATCTCAGGTTCTGTCACGCTTTTCAGTTTCATCCACAAATATTTCCCTAATATTCCTATTATGGATCATTTCCATAAGCAGTATACATATGTATGCTATTAGTATGCTGTCCGCTGTGCTCTTGTGTTCATAAGATCTCATGTCATTTGCTTATATGTATGATACTCTATATTTTGGAAATATCTATATTCTTTCGGATCCCGTAGAAAAGGACTTCAAAAAACAACACAGTTCATTGAGTTTAAAATTCGGGATATATATCTGATGAGCAACTTTTCTTAATTTATTCGTATTATAGTTTTCCTACTTGTATAAACTTCAACCATACCACCAACAAATATACAAATTAACCGAGTAAAACTTCCGTAAAAAATTATGTACAAAGAGTAAGTAATTGATAGTGTATGTAAGTAGTTAGTTGTGTAACAGTAGAACATTATACTATATATGCGTTGATTGTATTTCTAGATTTTCTATTGGTTCACGTATGCCAGTAAGGAGAGTGTGTATTTCCTTCTTTGTGTAGTATTTTTAAAATAAGAACATATGCCAAAAATGTGTATGTATAGTTAATTATAAAACAATGTAAGTAGTGGTTGGACTTATTGTCCGCGTTTTGTAATGGAGTACAAAATTGATTTCATATTACTTTTACTTCTTGTAGTTGTAGTCAATATGTATATTACATACTCTATAGTTCATGTCAAATGGGACTTGAGTAGTTCGTACATCACATGTTTAATATTTTGTAACTTTATAAACTTTGTTGTCTAAAAAATACTAATAAAATTCCAGATAATTTCATGATTGACATTCAATTCTTGCAAGATTATTTTACAATAACAATGCAAATGATTACATGTACGAGTTACTGAATTATTAGGTTTTAAGATGCTTTCCATCCTCCTCATATATATTCTCTCCAAATAATTTCGCATACATATCTAACTATATTTGGCACGACGAGTAATATCACCTAATTTCATAAGTTTTGCTCATTGCAGTTATTCAATCTTGGGCTTGTATAATTTTATTGAATATAGTCAATAAATTAAGGCGTCCCTTCAGTTGTCCGACTGAACTGATTTGATGAAGTATTCGACCAAACAATGCATCATTTATAATTTTATGAATATGACGAACATTACATCAGTTCCTTTTAGACTAAATATTGGCTTCCTCCCTCACACTCTAGTAATTCAATTGAATTTGCATTGCTCAATTACAAACCGCATTGAAGCGCATTTTGTAGCTGCGAGCAAATGCGTTCCTTCACAAAGTTTGCAACTACTTGCACCTACCTCTCTGTTAAGAATGAATCCACGAGCAAATTCAGCAACATGCAACATGGGTGTCTTGGTAAATAAGCACGTCAGTAAGTGCATAGTAGTAATCCCAACTTTATTTACTTCCGCTCCCACTATTTACTTGATAAATACATAGCTCAGCATTTTTAGTAGCGCCACGGGACTCCATGAATAGCAACACAGCGTAACGGTTTCATGAAAACAAGCGCTACATTTTATTGTCAATTTTTTCAAATGAACAAAATATGAACTAATAACGTTTATTTCTCATATTTTATGAACAATTAAAAAGTGTTGATTATATATTCTTTTTAATACTTAAAAACAAAAGAAAAGTCTGGAATTTTATTTAACATTTTAATACATATTAAAGTTACACATTTCTTGAGTCATCATTAATCATTGACGAGCCAGTATGCATATCGGACTAAAATTTACAAATAATTAACGATAAGGAAATCCGCTGCACTTGTTCCGAGTCATAATATTGTACTTTACACTGTTATAATAGGCTATATTGGAGATATAATTTTATCGTGCAAATAAATAAGAATCTCATGATATTATTTATGCTTAATCAGTATTAGATTGTCTTGCTTGGATGGCAAAGTTAATTTACAGTTTGCTTGGTAAAGAATTATCATAATTCTTATACGTAAATATTTAGTTGTCTTAAACTTGCATATCTATGTATGTATTGTATTTATTGTATGCATGTAAGTATTGCTCGATAAATCATTCAATGCTCATGTTGTTGTTAATTCATTCAAATTCTCAAAAACGAAGAAAACCCAAAGGACTACCAACCCACATTGCACTCTGAGATAAACTGAGAATTTTCGCCTTGCTACATTTTACACAATCCATTCTGTCTGTTCTCCCAAGAACGAAGGTGGCGAGAGAAAAAGAGACAAAATAAATTTGTTCAATTCTGAGATTGAACTTATCTTGACAAATTCGCCTTTTAAAAGTTTCATCGCTGTGTATAAAAAGTAGGATCAGTTGCTTTAACAAATTAATTAATTGTTGTCCATACCCGAGGGCACCTTTATTTAAGTCAAACAGCAACTCTAATAGTTTTTCAGATCGAGCTGAAACATGCATTCAAACAGTTTGCACAAAGGTTGGACTAGAATCCATTCAGTGAAGACTCGTATTTAAGGCTACCCTTTGACGTGAATAATTTCATTTCGGTGCATTTACAACAATGCATTAAAGTTGCAAGGATTTATTTTTGCAGCTGCAGCTTTTTTTAGCTTACGCATCTACGTGTACATATGTATTCAAGCTCTACGCTTCTTCTCATGTTCTTACACCATAAGTGACTGATGCCAACTGGTGGACTTTGAAGATTTACGATTTGTGGGTTTTGTTGACTGCATGGATGGTTTCCTACATAATTCGCTAGACACTCCTGCTCCTTAGATTTCAAATGCGAAAAGTTATTGTTACCAACCACCGATCTTGGTGCATGTGCTATGTGACTCTGCGTGTGCTGGTGGCGTCGACGTCTCAAAAGTGTCAAAAGAGGTATGTAGCTATACACTCATTCTCAGCATTGCATTTTGGATTAGGAGCTGCAGCAGGGATTAATTTTTCCTTACCTGCCATAAATCCAACGCGAAGAGGATCTCGCAAATCAGTGAGCTGTTGGTGTTCAATCTATCGTGTTGTTATTGTCATCACTCAGCCATTCATTTGTATATTAATAATAATAATAGTAGTTGTTAGCAGTGATTTGCAGTAGCTCAATGCATGTAGCATATCACATTGATCCAGTTTTGTAGGAGCGACGCGTAACAAGTAAGTTAGTGGACTTATTTATTTTGACGATAAACAAGGTTATTTACAGGTATGTACGTATGTATGTAAGTACGTACATGAGTTGTAACAATAACGATTACCATTTCGCAATCAGCTACTGCATTAGTTTACTTTTCTTATCTTTGAATTTAAAAACACAACAAACGATGATTTACTGCTGTACTGTTGCGATATGAAAAGAGTTGATTGATGCGGATTAATAGGGGAAATTTGTTCCTTGGTATTGATGGCATATTTGCGCAAGAGTGATCCTAAAATTTGTCATACTTGGCTCTGTTTCCAACAGACCGAAGAGAACAAGTAACTCAAAATAGGCTTACGCAATTGTTCACTAATTATTATTCATTTGAGTCTCTTCAAACGAAACATGCAGAACTATTTCGTACAATTTTTGTTTCATGAAAACGCCAAGAGAACTGGCATGGCTTGATTGTTGCATTATTAGTTCTCCTCATATCTAATGTATAGCAATTAACGATTTTTAATTAGATTCGGACTAATATGCTAATCAAATTAGAAACTCTCTTTTTGTGTAGAATGAAATTAACGTGATTCTGTTGTTCAATTATAGGCCAAAGAGAAGATATTAGGCAGGCCTGATGCACAAATAAAATCCTGCCTCCATTGTTTTGATACGGTGGGTGGATTCTTCACCTATTTGAAAATAAGTGCATATGTTACACTTGTTGGCAGCAACGCATATCATCTTCAGTCGTCTCAGTCGTCAGACTCATCCATTCTCGTTGCTGCTTGAGACACAGATTATTATGTAGTCTCAGTCAATTCCCTCGATTTCGCCAAACTTTATCCTTCCACTGACTGCGTTAAACAGAAAGTTGGTGGAACAAGCAGTAAGCAAGAAGAAGCTAAGAAGAAGAAGAGGATACATTTTCCCTTGTTGTTAGTTAGTTGAAGAGCTACCAAAAATGTGAGTTGTACGTACCGACAGAGTGAGAGTTATTCATCACTATTCACTGAGTTGGACACTACTTCTGAAAAGTTGTTGTACATTGTGCTTCAAAGTTTCAAAGACAATAGAAACTTATTTGAAATCAAGGATTTTCCTTAATCCGTCCTCGTGATACCGCGTGGGCGAGTAATCCGACTGATTTGTTTCGATCAATGACAGAATGAGAGTAGTGTGCGGTGAAACGTGGTTATTGTGTGGACTTGACTAAGAAAATAAAACAAATCTTGGGTTGAGACTGCGAAAAGTGTCTCGGAATCAAAGTACAGAAATATATCATTCTTATTATTAATCCTATTTTGTGTGCGTCCCAAATACGAAGCAGATTAATTTAGTAATGTGAAACATCAATACAAGAATAAGATCTAATTCCAAACAAGAGCAAATTGAACTTTGTGTACACATATGAAAATATTATGTGACGACTAGTGACGAGACTGAGTGATACATGTACAAGTGATCGTCACATCTACTGTGACATTTAAACTGGTTTTCGTGATGTTGGAAATGATTATAAACTGTTTTAAGGGGTTCCTCTTCTGCACAAAGACAATGGTTTTGCCTGCTTAACAATGTCATCGTGGAATTGATATCTCCATTATCAAAATAGCAGCAGTGTCTAGAAATTAAAGCTTAAGACGTTATTTTTTTCAACATGCCATCAGTCACTAATACTAACCCGATGGAACAAGCAGTCGCACGCGGATGTGTTGAATGCATTCGGATGCTCTTGGAAACGCCACCATTTTACAGGTAAAGAAATTAAGTCTTTTCATGAAAATATAAATACATGTGCAAACTCTTCAAGTTTGGAGCACTATTAATTGCACTGGCACCACACGTATGGAGATGCATAAGAATCTAAATATGTATGCTCAGTCAGCATCATTTGATGCTTAGATTAAATAGCGTGGGATTCTAGCGCAGTATCTGAGATGATTATCATGCATAAATATTTTTAACTGTTTGGGTGATTATACGCTCAAAAAGATCACGCCAACATTGCTTTTCACGCCGAATTTATTCCCCAGGTACGATTTCAAATCGAATGAATAAGTTGGTTGGTTGGTTGGTGGGCGACGAGGGATGTCAGTTGTTGAACTAGGCCACGAACTAACTCACGATGATGCCTCACAACAAAGGGCTTCAGGATTTCACCACTGGCACTTGTGTAGCAGATGTGGCTACAAATGCATGCATTATTGCTGTCATTGAAATACTCTAAAGATAGATTTACATGATTAGTAACTAGTTGAATAATTCCAAGCGACCCCGATAGCAGAAAATATTTGGTCCATGATTCATGAGTTCAATTAATTTGAGTACAAAAATATGTGCATATTTTTGTAAAATATTTATTTCTTAAAAAATTTGTCCCATATTTTGACGAAATTTTTCCTAGAGACATTCCTGGATTAGGGACAGCAAAATTTATAGTTTGGCATGCCACACCTCATGGGGGCAGACTGACTAGACACGCATACAGGCATTACATGTAGGTAAAATTTTGTATAGTTCTCAGGAGAACAATCATAATAACTATTCAGCGAAATGAGTTGGCCATATCACAGTTGCCTTTCTCCGTGTTTGTTTAATCGACCACGACCATAACAATTATTAGCATGCATCATGATCTTACATTATTCTGGCAGTTTTTAATCATATTCGTATATTTCATTGTTTCCAAAAAATTAATTTATAGGAAAGAAGATGTCAATAGTGAGCAAAAGATCTTAATCTTGGAAGTTGAATCTTGTGTTTAAAATAACTTATTGATAGGTAAAAGAGAAAAGAAACATTAATATTAGAGCGATGTAGGGCAAAAATTACTTGCCATTTGTTCTGACCTCATAAATTGCCTTTCTTCATCATCAACATGCTAACAAACTAAAAAATATTTGGCAGTTTTAATACTAAATTGCATCCACAAAAGTAAATAGATAATCACAGATTATCACCGACATATGTACATAAGCGTTAACTGTTAGCACTTACGATCTCTTCATGTATCTTTTAAGCATACAAATAATTTCACTTACCTGGCAGTAATTTAATAAAAATACTTCATCACCATCTTCATACGATTATTATATGCAAGTAATTTTTGAATAAAACTGATCATTATTCGAACCCAACTACCTAAGGAAATTGATACTAGGATCAATACATACATGCAAAATAACACTCAGGCTAAAGTTTCCAGCTTCTTATTAACAAATTGTTAATAAAAATTGTAGTAAGAAAAAAAGAGTCCATTTATTCAAATGATACACATAAAAGCGAAATGAAATAGCTCAGGGTAATTTTGCGAACAATGGATTGCCAATTATGCATTATTGTTTACATTGTGGATAACAATTATCGTTGTGAATCGTTTCGTCATCCCAGCCAATTATTATGTTTGCAGCTAATTCACATTTCGGTAGCAATACGCATTTTATAACTTTCAAACAAAGGGTAAAGAATACTTCCTATCCTAGCCAAGGAGGTGTCAAAGCGTTAAAATTGCCATCCGTGGGAATTTACAGAAGATTGAGGCACAGCGAGTACAATACGTGCACAAAGTTCAACTCTTGACGAGGCTCATTTCGTTCGATTGCGTTTGTTTCGTATTTATGACATTACTTCCAATCCTACTACATCACGTATCCTGAGTCGAAGAAGAGTTAGTTACTTGCAATTGCGTAATTGAAATTAACCTGTTTCTTTCATACGTAGTTCAGAAATTGTTGACAACAGGACTCATCATTGAGTTACTGAAATATGCAGTCTGAAAAAAACTAACAATTGCGACACATTTACATTATGTCACATTAATGGTGGGGAAGAGCAACCAAAATTATGCCGGAATTCAGTATTTATGATAACCTGCCGTCGTTTCAGCAGTTGTCAAACAAATTACAGAAAATTACACTACTACTTTATTCTTCTCTTAAACATTCAGTTTCACTTTTACCCTGCTTATATGTACATAGGTAGGCACCTACATACCTCATACTTATGCATATGTATTGTTGTTGAGGTTATGCATGTTTGTTAATTTGAGAAAAGTGGGAAGGAGACAATTGAATTAATTTTACATTAATCTGCAACTTGCAATTGCTATAAAACGGAGAATTGGATTTAGGAGAAAAGAGAGAATTAATAGAATTAGAAGAATCTTAAGAGCCCTGGATGGAAGAAGAAGCAAGGTATTGCATTACTGACTGTAACTAATCCCTAGTCTCATCCTGATTTGATTATTCATCGTGCTGCTGGTGATTGGAGCTCGTGTTCGTAAAGTTTTCTGAAGGAGCTTTTCCGACAAATAATGTCCCCTTGTTTAAACAATGGGAATTAGAAAGTAGTGGGATGGTGGTGGTAGTTATTGGTTTTGTAGTTCCTCTTTTTAAATAATTTGGAAATAATGTCCTTTCTGGCATGGCGTTGTTGTTGAGATTATTTTATTCCACCCACGAAGGGCAAGCCGAGACTTATTGAAATTACGGATGATGATGAGTTGTTAGTGGATTATTATGCCCACAATGGAGTGACCGTTTACATCTTGATCACTTAAATATATTATTGTTGGTCTCGCTACTCGCTCTCTAATTCTCGTGATTTGAAAACTTCATATTTGCTGAAATGGATTTTATAATAACAATAATATTCGACGAAGAAACTGTTAATCCGCATTATTTTCTATAATTCAACTATTTTGTATGTTGTGTGCGCATGCCGTACATTTGCCTGGCATTATTATTAGCTAACTAAACATGTACTGATCCTACACAAGCGAAAAGATCATTACCCGTTCCATGGCGCCCATTATTACCTAACAGCTTCTCGCTCCTATTAGTACGAGGAGGTCAATATTTTTTGAAGCAGAAGTCTGTTCGTCGTGTAAAAATATGAACTTTTTTCTGTGTGAACCATAGTTAGTTTGGTGTACATGAGGTCGTGCGTTACTCCGCCAATTCATGGATGAATGACTCTAGTCTCCCAGCGACACGATAGGAGCAGCATAATCGCCAACGTGAACGAATAATTAGGGAATGCTCATATGCCGATTGACCCGCATTTGGAGTTAACCGCTTGTAAACCAATTCCCCCATAACGGAGCCATAACTAATGCAGGCGTGCTTCGAATCTAGATTAGCATTCGCCCATTGTACATAATATGCCATGGTAAAACACCCAATTGAATCAGGAACAAAAAATTCTAGATTGCATATTTACCACCGCCGTACTTACGTCTAATATCCATTCGTTCTCGAAACGTTAGCTGACGAGGGACTTTGTTTTGAGTATTTCCAAATATCATTCTTCTGAAATATGTAGTGCTGCCTTAGATGGTCGTGGTCACCCATGTAATAATTCCGTATAATGCCAGCAAGGAACCTACGACTCAAAAACCGGAACAAATTGCTGAGAAAAGTAAAGCAACGAAAATGTATGCAACAACTTAATTTGCAAAATATATTTTAAATGTCAGAGTATGAGCTATATTGGTTTGGGGTTGAGGTGATATGTTGTGCAATTTTTAAGACTCTTTTAATTTCCACTTTCTCAATCAAACTGACTGACTGGTTGAACATGGGAGTAAAGGACTGGCTGACACTGCATTTAACCCTATGGAGCCAATTATTGGAGTCTACTAGATTGGTCAATTAGTCAATTAGCTTTTAAACCCAGCCAAATAGAGGTGATGTCTGAGTGAAACTTGCCAGTCGTGAAATTTTGATAGAGTTTTCTTATAATCGAAAGGATTAGATTTATTATCGCCTTTGATCTCAATTCAACGCCCAATCATAAATGTTATCTGATTTATCTTAACTTGTAGATTTAACGGAAATAAACAATTAAATCTCAAAATCAATCGTCTCAAAAATTTACCAGACATACAAAGCGTACAAAAACATCAGTAATTTTTGTACTTGGAAATTAGATTCTTATCTTATTGACGTTTATTATTGCCCTGCACAGTGCAATTTTGTCTCAATTTATGAGTCTACTTACAAAGTAGGTACCCCTCATGCCAAATTGTTTTAAATCCATCGAACGAGCAATTTAATATTTGAGCTATATCCATTTCCGTATTTTAATCGTTATTTAAAAATCGAGGAACAAAGTAATATTTAGGTGTGTACAGTGTCCCTACATGTGTACATACATATAGACACATAGACGTAAGAAATGCCGTCTGGATTAAAAAAGAGAGAAATATCTGTCCAGTCACTATCTCAATTTCAACACCCTGAATTTCTAACATACTTCGAATGATCTAAAAATCATCGTCTCAGCATCAATATGAAATCACACTTTTCATTGCCAATTTAGTACACTGGATATTAATGCTGAAATATGTTGACAATTTGTGAAACATCTGTCTCTTACTTTTCTGAATACCTACCAAAGCAGCCTGAAACTCGTGTGCTCAAAAAGCTAAACTGAAAACTATGTGTATACCAACAACAAAAACATTCTTTGTTAAATCGGGATAACCATTATTTAGTTTCTTTCTTGGTGTAAAGTCAATTTAGAAAGGCGATTTTAATGCAATGTTTGACAGGCGAAAAATATGGCTATTATGCTCTCGTCTGTAGCTTTGATTTCACAGTGAAACCCTCTGAAATAGGTAATTAAATTTTCATCTTCAGTTAGTTTGCGGCCAGGCATTATTATTATTGTGTGCGTATGTATGTTTAATGCAATGTTTGTTGTGAAAGACCGACAGCCACAGTTGGTCTTTATTATACGTACATACGTAAAGG